CTTGAGCTTTTTGATCTGCTTTGCGCTGATTGGTTCTCCTTGGGCGTCATGAGTTGGTATACCCTATGAAATAGAAAAAGCTAGATTAGGTTACCTGTCGTTGAGGAACMGTGAGTGAACTGGGCAAGAAACAGGCGCAWATGAAGTTCCGCATAACCAAATAACTARMATAATAGCACAGGGAGCCCAAACTCACCTGTTCGTCAAATGCTGAATACTTATCCGTCTCTTGTTTAAACATATCCCATGGTGCTATYCGAGCTTTGGCCTCTTTGGCAGCCTATAGTGAGGAGAGAAGTTTCAATTTCRWTTGTAAATTTGYTATTTTAAGAAAGTCGCGCTCATACYGGAGAWSYAAAAGACTGAAAAAATGAGAATAAAATGAGAAAATTGTACCTTTTCTTCCTCGAKTTTTCTCTTGGCTTCCTCYTTTTGTCTTCTTTTCTTCTCTTGTTCCTGTGAAAAATAATCAAAAGTTACTGCGAGATACACGTTGTTTAGTTTAGTCGTAATGATACCTCTTTTTGCTGTTGTTTCTCCTTCCTCAAAGTTTCTGGGTCAACAAATTTGATAACAGCTTTGCTATCTGAAGAGAAGAAAAAAATACATATTGGGTAGTTATCTCAGTAGAAGAACGCTAGTCTACTGTTTAGATGGTAAGATTTTGAGCCCTGTATAATTAAAAGCAAAGAACAAACAAGGGAACGAATGATACCCCCAAACACAAACACATGAAAGAAAGACCTGACGACCGTGCGAAAGAAGGACGAGGAAACGAAAGACAGAAAGCACGAGCTAACGCTGGAAAGAACGAATGTGTGACACCTCGAACGCACAAACGAATGACATTTGATTTCCAACCTTCCTGATCTTCCAGTTTWACACCAAGATTTGGCAGACTCTCGTCTCTCAGATAATCACAAGCCTTGAGAATCTTCGACACTGGAAATGAAATCATATCATCGCACTTTATTATTTTGTATTCTACACACTGTTTTCATAAACCCATGAAACACAGTGTACAAAATGCATTTTCACAGATTGTAATATTCATGGTTAGACAAGATTTGCTCTCTAACTGTTTGCTCTCGGCATAACTTCGGCACAACTTCGGAATAACAACGTTCGCTAGGGAAATGTTGAGGTCGTCAGAGAGTAAAGACCGAGAACAAGTCTAGTCTATGCATCCATGTAATTATTACACTTTGTATCACGGTTTCTTTATACAAATATCTCTTAGAAAAACCTTTTTCTTCTCTTGCAATGCTTCGTATATCTTCTCTGAAGTCTGACAGMAGTTGAACATAMGGCAAAGCRAWTTCTTCGTGCTAAAACAAAATAGATTTTGATATTTGATCAAAGAACTTGTCTCTTCGCTGTAGTTCCTGAGCTTCTTCTCCATCCCCAGGGAAAGGAAGAAGTTGGAAGAGACGTGGAAGTGAGGGAGTAGGTAAGGAGAAATTACGACGAATGCAGCGAGAAGAAAGAACGAAATGAATGTGAAGTGGGAACGGAAGAATTGACAGAGGAAAGACGGAAAAAGGGATTACACTGATAAAATGGGAAAGAAATTACAAGGAAGAAAGAAAGACAGAGAAGAAGATACGAGGGAATGAACAGGTAAAGATAGGAGAAATGAAAAAATGGAGAAGAAATGGAGCTTACATTCCCGCTTGCGTTCTGTCCTGAGATAGAGAATCCAATTTCTTGCTCGCCGTCGTTGGCACCGAAAATCTAACCAACAGAAACAAAGCTTGTCAGTGCATACCCCTAAAGGTCTTACAGTAACTAGTTTATGATCAATACCTTGAGCATCTTGGTTAAATACTTGGCGATCTCTTTGAGAAGATCATGATTTGGAGGCGTGTTGCTCTGTTTCTTGTTGCCGATATAAATATGGGATAATTTCACGAGGTCCTGCATTTGACGGAGCGCTCCTGGTGTATCTATCGAATCTAAATTGAAAATAATACATTCGATGTAAAAAACAAAACCATATATCCCCGTACACTAATAACTGCACCCCAAAATCGTCGGACTTCCAGCTCGCCAGCTTTCCCGATCAAATGACTCTCCGACTACCGGACTTCAAGATTGTCGGACACTCCGATCACCGGGGTTTCCAATTACTGGACTTCCCGATCACKAATGGCCGATCTTCACCGACTCACTGACTACCAATCATCAGACTCACAGATTATCGAACGCAGTTGGGACTACCCGATCACCGGACACCCCGATCACCGGACTCCCCGACCGCCGGAGATTATCATGAACAACCAAACGGATTGAGGAAAACAGCATTTTCAATCGAAAACTCACCACAATTGGTTATATAACATTAAAGGATCTAGTTCTTACCGCAAAGTGCTTGATGTACAGCGTCTTTCTTCTCATGGAATCTGCGACAAAAAATACCAATATCTAAATTCACTGCTTTAATGCGAATCTGTCGCACTTWTAATAGGCAATATGCAGCGATGCCATTTTGTACAGCAATGCATGATGGTAGTTGTAGTCCTCGCACTTTTCATAGCCCCTAAAATATCTCCTTAAAAGCGGTTTTTACAATTTTTTTACAGAAACGCAACAAGTACTTCTATTTTCGCTTAGAAAAAGCAAAAACTGGTTAGGAGGACTGTTTTAGCGGACATAAAAAGTACGAGGACTACAACTACCATCATCCTTTGCTGCACAAAATGGCGTCGCTACACATTGCCTATTGTTGCTGTCATTACTTATAAATATTAACCATAGAACCTTGACATTTGATAAAATTACAGCCTTTTGGCAGGTCTACCTGTTCTGTAATTCTTTCTCAAGTTCCTTGTAATTATGAGTGTGGGGCAGAGAGTCTTCTGGTTTTCTTAAAATATCTTTGACTATGAGGAAGAAATCCTGCGAAAACACAAATGCAACTTATAAGAAAGACGAGTGAATTTTTCTGAACTTATAAGAAACAAAACTGATATTTCATTTACTGCTGCATAAGGATTTTAATATTAAAGCAAATTTCTTAAAACAGATTTTTATAGTTTTTTTCTTCAAATAACATTTTTACATTCTGTTTTGTACTTAATATGATTTTGGAAGATAAGAATCTGTTTTCAATTTTTTGGGCTAGACAGGTTTTTGTTCAGAGATGGTATAAAACCCCGTTGTGAATTCCCAGGTTCTTAACCATGGTTTTTTTCGTTATCATATAATTAAGCAACTTACATTAAAGAGTTTTTCAATCTGTTCGGCTTCTCTGATGACATTCTCGCTGTAATCAAGCGTTGCATTCCAAGTGTGAAGCAAAAACGCTAATCTAATTTGCCTTGATGAGTTTCTCTTGAGAGCTTCCTGAAACAGGATTAAGATTGACATTTATACAGCTTTCTTTATAAAACTTTGCATTCCAAGACCGCAGWGCATTGTGGCTATAAACTCCACGTTTTACGAAATGACAATTGTTAACGCTCCTTCACGGTTACCTGCGCCATCTTGAAAGGTAGCCGTGCCTTTGCATCGAAGCGAAACGCAACCGTTCAACGTGCAATGATAGAAACCTGTGAATAACTGTCTGTAGGTGGGAAAGAAGGTTTCTATCATTGGACGCTCAACGGTTCTCTAGCTTCGATGCAAAGGCATGACTTCCTTTCTAGATGGCGCATGTAACCGTGAAAGAGACTATTTCTGTCCATTTGAAGTTCTTGACTGCACGGAGATAGCATGGTCACTCTGAAACCACGAAAACTCCTTTTCAATGGCAATAAAACGATCAACAAAGCATTCTGTCTTGGAATACACTTTCTTCAGTATTCAACCTTTTCTGAAATAGTCGGTTGACTTGTGAAAAYTGCCGTTTTATAAGTTACCTTAATTGTAATAAAATTCTTTAAAGACTTTGACATTTTACAGCCTTCAATGGTTAGATGGCCAGCATGCAGGAAATAATGAATCCAYTGATTGCATCCATGATATGCCTAAAAATAAATAAAATCTTATAATTACACATTTTTTTGCATCGTTTTAACAGTACTTACTTGTAGGGTATAACTTAGTCTCCTCCCTCAGCCGTTAGGACGTGTGACCTGGGAACGAACGTTCTAACGGCTGCGAGCGGAGACTAGGTATTACTGGGAAAAGTAAACTTTAAACGGAATTTTGAAAGTTAAGTGCACAAGATTGGAAGAATGTTCAGTTTTTTTTTACCTCTGATTGTGCAAGTTCGTTGTCATGGTGAGGGAACTTCAGATCCACTCCTCCAGTATGAATGTCAATGGAATGYCCTAGTACTTCACTATCGGGAAATAAAAGATAAACAATGTAACCTGCTCATAGTCTAATGTAATCACTTTAAAGGGCCATGGTCAACCACCATCCTAGTCTCCTCGCAGCCGCTCTCAGTGGCAGGCTCCCTGGGGCGGGGGACAGGGAACCCGCCACTAAGAACGGCTGCGAGAAGACTGAGCTTTTGCTCATGTTTGAAAATAAAAATACATCGTAATATAAGCAAGAACTTATTCTTTACTAATCCTCTTTGAATGGAGGTACTAAGAAACGATCTTAAAACGACTGATGGAAACGGATTGCGAATGGAATTTGAAGATATTTTGCGAAAAAAAATTAAACCACGATCGCATTGAATGCTGGTTAACCAAGGCCCTTTTATGGGAGTAAAAGAAGATACATTAACATTTACATATGCATTTACCTTGCCATTACAGAGCACTCAACATGCCAACCTGGTCTCCCCTAGAAATATAAGAGTATGTGGCAATTTATTTTTAGCCGGTAGGTAACGGCTTACGGTATTTTGCGAAATGAGTATTTGATCTCGAAGGCACGAAATGGTCCCAATGTATGCAGATATGAATAGAAAAATTTGTTAACATGGAACTTTAAGCAATAATACGAATACAGTCAACTCTCGCTATTACGGACACCCTCGGGACCGCAATTTAGTGTCCGCAGTAGC